ATGTTTGGCTTGGTTTCAATGAAAGACCCTCTACATCAGAATCCACTGGGGTCCTGCTAAAATACATATTCCTGAGGGGGCATCCACGTCCCTGGGAGCAAGGGCTAGGAATCAGCACCTCCAAGCCACCCTCCCCCGTGAATTTTACACACAGTAGAGTTTCTAAACAACACGAATAGGTCAAACAGGCAAGGTGTTTCACCTGAGAAATACCTATTTGACCCAATTTTTTTTGTTTAGGAGACTAGGGAAAATCAACGGCCTGTTATTAAGCCTTTCCATAATTTGTGAAGAAGTTAGGTAGTTAATAAGCATTTTGCATACATTTGCAAAAATGAGACAAGGGAAAATAATTATATTTCAAGCCAGCGTGGGGTGGTTTTAACATCTTTCAAAAGAGGTATGGCCTCCGGGAAACATTTGTGGGAGAAACTGCTTCCTCAGATTAGGCTGTGGGTGCAGTATTACGTGGACAGATGAAAAATGTGACCCCAGAGCAGGAGCTGCCTGTGGGAAGAGATGGTTAATAGGACCACACTTGTTTTGTTGTGGCCAGGACCAGAGCCGGCTCCGGCTGTCTTCAGCAGGACATGAGTTATTTGTAAGGCTGTGGATGACAGGCTGGGGGCCTCACCTCTCCAGAGGTTTGACAGAGGAACCAAAACAAAGTTTGAGGTTCCTAGCTGCCATTGTGATGAATGTGACTTTTAGGTGACCACGTTCTCAAGATGCCAGAGCCCTGGAGAGAGAATCTGAACCTGGGCACCTTCCTGCAGAGACAGGGTTATCTGACTCTTTCTTCTGCTTGATATGGGAATTCTGCACATGAGACATGGGGATCTCCTAGGAAGGAAACAGATGCTGGAGAGCCCCACCCAGGGGTAAGAAACTAGAACTACTCACCTCATGCCTTCTAAGGCTCTCAGGTAGATTGTCCAGGTTCAAATCCTGCATCTTCCACTGACCAACTGGATCATCTGTTCCTGTAGTTCAAGTTTGCTTATCTATAAAATGGAGATGAAAACAGACCCTATTTTTTTTATAAAAAGCATTGTTGTGAGGCTCAACCCTATGGAGAAATATGTGTCTGGCATGCAGTAACTGCTCTAAGTGTTTGCTGTTGTGGGAGTGTCTCTGGCTCTCTCCACCCACATGCACACACATGCACACACCCCACATAGAGACCTTTTATTCCCTTCTCTTGTTTGCTCTCAGACTATCTTTCCTCTGATACCTTGATCTTGCCAGTTACTTTTGCCCGTGTCTTCTTCCTTAGGAGTTGGGCTCCACGGTTGACAAGGGGTTGCTCTGAAAGCTGATTGGTAGCTTGGCGTCTGTACAGGAAAAAAGCCTGGCAGCGGCATGCAGGGTGTCCAGCACCCAGTCCTTGCTTTCTCTGGGACAGTCAGACCCACTTTTCGTTCTCCTCAGGCTTCTCCCGTTCACTCCCGAGCCTGCGTGCATTTGGCGTACCCTGTGAGTTGCAGTGGGAAGTTTACAAGTTGGCTCGTTCCCTTAAACACTCTCACCTTCCTTTCCATCCGGGCTTTTAAATGAGATGAAGAGGTTGTTCCAATTCCATTACCAAAGTAAATGAAAATCATTGTCCTTCCTCGAGGTTGACTCTGGGTCACTCTACCCTCCGATTTCTCTTGCCCATGGCACCTGGTAGCATCTCCACTCTCGAGCCCACCCCCGCTTGCCCTCTCCTCTGTGATTTTGTGAAAGTGAGGTGATTATATAACTGCATGGAGTCAGCTAGGATTGTGTTCCTGGGAACACACTGAAGTGTCCTTCCAGGTCATCTCCACTTTTCATCCTAACCTTCTGTCTAGAATAGGTCACTGACCTGAAGGCACTGCTCTGTGTCTTTGGTTGGGTTGAGCTGTCATACAAAGCCTCTCCAACAGCAAGGACGAGGAGAACTTTGTCATTTGCTGAATTGAGAACAAAATCCTCTGAAGATGGGAAAAAGCAGGATTATTTTAAAGTTCCGCTGTGATTCTCACAAAAGTCATATTCTTGTCAATTTATTTTGTGAGTGTAGAGTATGTTGTAGCAGTGCAATGATTCGTTGTTGTTTAGTTTTATTTTCCTTAATGGTAACTTTATCTTATTAGTCTGATCTCAGTGGCAATACCACATTTATGTGCAGGGTTCTTCCTCTCTTCTCTGGATATCTTTTGTTGTGATGTTGTCATTTTGGAGGTTGTGAGGTTGTGTCTGTAAAATAGATAAGTGGCAAAGGCACACAAACAGCAAAAGTATCTTTGGTCGTATTCTCCATCCTGCTCTGTGATTCGCTATTCCCTGGCAACATGGTTCCTTTCCTATTGTTAGTATTTTGCATTTTCCTCCAGGTTTGTTTTATGCACATATGAATATATGTTATTTCCCCCTTACTAAATAGGTAAGTGCACACTCTGCTTGCATACTTTTTCTTACTTCATAATTCATCTTGGAGATGTCTACATGTAAGCCTATACGCAGGTTTCTCATTCTTTTCTATATCTGGGGAACATTCCATCATTTGGACAGACCCTACTTTTTTTATACATTTTCCCATAGAAGAATATTTTCAGTTTCCTAATTAATTTTGAGATGAATGTTATGGATAAGATTGGACATATGGAATCTGTACTGATAGGGTACAGCTTAGACAAAGATTGAGTATGATCTTGAGTTATTCGTAAGGGATTTTTTTTCTATAAAATGATAAAAATGAATTGATCTTTAGTGACACATCCAGTTTTGCCTAGGTGCTTTGCATGTATCCTGGAATGAGCAAGGAGGAGCTTTGTGCTCATTTTAATGGATGATTTTGTAAGCTATTGGGTCCCCAACTTGGAAAATAATGATTTTTTTTAAAGATTATTCTGAATGTGGTCAGAGTTATCTAGGTTTATAAGATTGATTCAAGGAAATAAGAATGGGATTTGAAAAGTTTGGGGTTGGGAAAACTTTCCTGGTTGTTAAATCACCCATGTTTCTATCCACTCTCACTAACAGATGCCTTCATAGGCTAGATTGGGTTGGAAGGAAGCAGGGCTATTAAGTCTCTTGAGAAAAGGGTGGCTGGCCTCTCTAAGCTCAATTGAATGGGAAGCATGATCAGACAATTGTAAAGATGGTAAAACAGCTGTAGTGAGTGGCCTTGTTAATGCATTCGTCATATGTAAGTATGTACTAAAGCATTAATATGATGTGATGTTTGTACCAGAAGAACATTAGAGATGAAAGACAGTTTAGGAGGAACTTGAAATTGAAGTTCACCATATGCTTCCTTTTGAAGTGCTGCTTCGAATGTCATTGAAAATCTTATTTGTAACTAAACACAAATCTGAAAACACAAACATTTTTGGTGAATGAATTTAACCTAATGGCAAAATGATCACATAGCTAAGAAAGAAGCAACCTGGTGCTGGGCCCTTGTGCTGGTCCTCTGGAGACTGGGGAGCCCTGCAGAACGGGGCAGTCACAGCCACATTGGAAGCTGCAGGGAGCATCTTCGCCTTTGGTCTATTTGAACCTACTGTTTGATATTGACTTGATGATTCCTTCAGCAATTAGGTTCAACACTGACCAAATCTTATGATATTAGTCAGAAATGATTTCTGTTCACTTCATTAAGAAATAAGCCCTATGAACCTTTTTCCATTCCTTTAACTTATATATCCTTGAAATTATAGAATTAAGCATATAGAAAGTTGGTTGGTTTCTTGGAGAACCAGTCAAAATCAGAATAACGTATGATAACATGTATGTCTTGGGGTCCTAGATATTCAACAGTACATTGATTTCACACTAAATTAGCAGCTTGTCCTTACCAAATAACATACTTGGTTTTCAGGGTGTCTGCTTTAGGGTGAGGAGTTAGGAGACAGGAGTCGTGGTGCTAACAGTGCTGTTAGGACCATCTTGTATAGTTAGTTTCCTGAAATGATAATTTCATGGGGGGAGGGATGGGGTGATCCCACATTTATCAGGTGACGTGTGGTGACACGGAGCCTAGCAGGGTTCACTGTGGTGTTTTCACCTTGGTTCTCAGTGAGGAAACCAAAGCATACTAGATTAAGAGGTCAGAGCCCAGGAATCGCTCTCTATAAACAGCTCTTATCTTTTGATTCTTGGTTCAGGAGTTTCTCCCTAGCCATGTTTTTCCTTAAGAACTATTGATCCAGGATAGAATTTTCTTCTTATAACGAGTGGGCTGGGTTCCAAATTTGTTGTGTAGCCAGCCCTCCTTGAAACGTACACTGCTGTTGTATACGGATTTCTGGTCTTTTTATTTTCCTGGCTGTGATGCCAGTTTATCACAAGGCATGATTGGGTTTATGAGACAGGATGTGGTGGTTGGGCAGATCCCTCTAAAAAGACATTCCTGCATAAACAGCTTTAGTGTGACTTGGCCAGACTCTGCAGACCACAAACGGAGTTCAGAATCAGCATCTCAGGTCAAGCTGGGAAGTTAACAAGTTCCCTGGAGGCACTGCCTCCTCACCAGGCTGGGCTCCTAATCACTGGAATCAGTCAGCAGCCGCTTTGAGCTGTCATGTTGGACTATTGAGGTGATCTTTGCTTGGACTTGGGGGAAACATGGCATGGTGTCTTACATGTGTGTCCTGTGGCGCCCACCCCAAGCTCCCTCATTTTCTCAATTTCATAGCTGCCCTTAGAGAAGGAGGCACTATTCCTTCCAGAGCACTTGGCTCAGATCCAGTCTCTCCCAAGTCCTTCTCCTTCCCGATCTTCAGAGGGACGTGTCTCTCTTTTCCAAACCCTCACTTTTTTGGAACCCCCTTATCTGTTCTCTGTTGTATAATTCGAACATTTGTATCTATCTCAAGACTATAGACTCCGTAAAGTCATGTCTGAAATGCTATTGATTTTTTTTTTTTTTTTTAACATTTGAAGGACCATGTTTCTCAGTCCTAGGGATGCTCTCCGATTTTCCTCTGTTTCTTTGTTGGTACTTATTGTCTTTGTTTCTTGCCCTGCAGGTCTGCAGACTCCAGTGCCAGAGGTCATTGTTGATGTGGAATCCATGGATATCTTCCCAGTGGGCTGGTGTGAAGCTAATTCTTACCCTTTGACGACACCACACAAAACAGTCTGTGAGTGTTGCCCAGTTAAATAGATGGTGGATAATGTGTGATCTGGTGAATAGCTAGGTAATTTTGTATGGAAAGTCATAAAAAATAGAGGAAGATTTTAGATGGCCCAAATAACACCAGTTTTTTCTCTGTTATCCTTCAAGTATGTGCATGAGATTAACATTTGGATGCATTCCATAGGTTGACAATCCAAGTAAGGAGGCCATTGAGAGTCCCAGAGAGATAAATAGAAAAAAATAGATACATCTTAAATCTTTACTCCCGGTTTTGTGTGCAATTCATTATGTTGATGGGATAAAAATTAAATTAGATACCATGTTTTTATATTATCATTTCTTAGCAAGATCTAATATTTCTCTTGCAATTTCCTGTAAAGGAATCATACATAGTCCAATAATTTACGGAAATACTTAGAAATATTGAACCTACTCATAGCACTAATTAGTCAGTGAGATTTCAACTGTATATTAAAAAGTGTGTTACTCACATCCTTGTGATCACAGAAATACCAGATAAAACCAGTGTTGATAGTTGAACAATACAGCAGTATGCACACATAGACACACAAACACACAAACACAAACATTCATGTACATTTTAATACATACAACAGTGGTTTTAACATGTTATTTTAGGTCATTATCTTCAGATGGTACTGCTTCAAAATCCTAATAAATCTTTGCATTTATTATCCCACCCTAAAGCACATCAAAGTTTATGAGTTCTCAAAGATTGTGGGCTTCACCTTTCCATTAAAGAGATTGCATTTCCGATATTTTCTTTATGGAATTTGCATGCCATCTCTACTTTTCCCCAGCACCCTGATCCATGGTGACTTCCATTTCTTCTCCAGACATAGCCGTGAACAAAGTTCCATCACATAGTAGGCTTCGCATCCCTGATGTCCACAGATTTTGAAGGGTCTCCCTCCCCCCATATTCACCAAGAGCAGTATAGAATGCTGTGCTTTACTCACTACCGAGCTGGTTAAGAATCTGCATCGTAAGTGGGGATAGTGTGCCCCTAAGATTCAAAGAACATTCATTGATTAGAAATATTTTAAAGTGAGGAGAAGATAAAACTCTAAGTGGATCAAACTTATCAAGTAATATCTTCCCTGAGGTCTGCCAGGGGGTTGGACTCAGTCCTTTTTGTCCTTGTTTTCCCTTAGATAAGACTTAATAGCATCCTGTATCTTTTCCCTCCCTCTTGCACATGGATGTGGGGGGCTGCAAGTGCTTTCAGTTTTTCTGAAGCAAAATCACATGTTGGATGAAACATTGTAGTGTTTCTGCTTTATTTTTCTGTTGTTCTTGCGAGGCTACCATATAATCAGGTTTCCCACCCTCAGCCCCAGACTGAGTTAGACAAGTCATTCTATAACTCCTTTTTTTTACCTTGGCGATCATAAAAATTTATACTTTTTATAGTAACAACTAGAATTAAATGCCAAATAAAGTCAAGAATAGGTAAAGATATTGTTGAGTATTTAATGAATTCTTGCATTCATTTATTAACCATACATTTTTGCTGTGAGCAGGCAAACTCTGACTCTACCCTGCCAGACTCTCACAGCTTTTGAAGTATTGGTGGAATTAATTTATGCTTACATCAGAAGACACAGGATTATCTGAGCCAAGATTAATAGGTGCCAAAAGCTCTGGTCTATTTTTGTTAAGGTGATAGTAATATAGAAATATAATTGGATAGAGATATAAACTGTAAGTGTTCTTATCCAAAAATATCATTATTTGCTGATTTATATCAATATTTGACTAGATGTATTTGTTAACCACTACTTCTTCTTCCAGTAATTCAATATTCTAGTTCAAATGCAGGCCTCTGGGACTCATCTGGGGGACACTGTCAGTGTAGCATTATTTGCCGTATCATAGCTTCTGAGGGAGAAATCATTCTGGATCATCATGCTTGCAACAGTTTATCTTCACATGTACACTGATGTACCCTTTTTTTCTTTCTTATTAAAAGCACCTTTCAAAATAAAGTAGCCAGCGTAGTGATAAGATTAAATGCACCGGATTCTATTAAGATCTCTTGTCTGATGACTCTCTGTTTTATGCTAGAAGAAATTAATATAAAATTGTGGCTTGACTACAGTAACTCATCAGTATTTAAAGTGCTACTTTAAAATAGGCAAGTCTTTACACTGTTGTTTTTTAAAAATGCATCTGTCCCACTAACAATGTGATTTTCTTTTTCTCTTCCTATATTTTGTCTGTTTATAGCCCAAAAGAAGAGAAAGATTGCAGTTGTGCAGCCAGAAAAACAGTATGTTGATTTTTTTTTTTCATTTTTCTCCAAATCTGTATGATAAATTGTAAAGTTTCTTTGTAGAGGATAGGAAGTTTGTCTTGTTCTTAGAGAGTAGCTAAGAGTGGTATGGAGTAAAAGTGACAGTCAAAGTGTAGCTGCTATTACTTATTGTGCACCTACTATGTGCAAAATGCAGTGTCAGCTCCCAGAGGAACTTGTGGTCCAGATTGTCATTGCTCACTTTCTGTTTCACCTCAGCATACCCGAAAATTATCCCAAACCTACTTACTGACTCTGGGTACCCTCAGGGACCTGTGTGACAGTGTAGTTTGGAAGCACAGCTCCTCTCCCTGAACTGGAGCTTCCTCCCCACCTCTCCAGCCATGACTAGGACTGGAGACAAAGGACGGACTCAGTGTCACCCCAACTCTGCTGCTTCCCCACGGTGCACATGAGCCAGCCGCTTTAGTTCTTCATATCTCAGTAGCCCCCCCTTGTAAATACCTATTTCTCAGGGTTTTGTGAAGATTCTGATTTTAAATCAGACTCCCATGTGAAAAAAAGATTATGGACTTTGAATTATTGAACAAAGGTGGGTTGCCCTTCACCCCAATTCACTTGTACTATTAGGAGGAAAGAGGGTTTGGGCGAGAGTGGATGTGCAGCAGTATGTCTCTGAAAAGTTGTAACTGGCTGTTGACCATTATATATATTGTGAAATACTTAAAATACAACAAAATGTCCATTCCATTGCAAGTAATTGTGTTTTCTTAGATCAATAAAAATATATGGATAGAAAGTTAACTGCAACCAGTGTTTCTCACACACTTAGGTTTAAATTTAAATGCAGTGAAACTGAGCAAGAGCAGCATTGTTATTTGAATAACAGTTTTGTAGATATTTTTTTATGCATTTATTTCTAAAACATAGTGTATTGGGCTCATAACCTGACTCCATTTTATTCACTTAACATGAAGTAAAGAGATTAATAATAGATAGACCCACAATTGAATCCAAATTTGCAGTCTATGGATGAATGGTTCTCACTCTTTACGTGTGGCAGTCATGTGGAGAGTTTGGGAAAACACAGGTTGCTACGTCCCAGCCCCAGTATTTCTGATTCACGATGTCTAGGGTAGCCTGAGGTTCTGCATTTCTAACAAGTTCCAGGGTGATGCCAACACTGTGGGCTTGGGGACCACACTTTGAGAACCATTTCTGTAGATGACTCTATGATTGATTGTGATGTCCTCTTTGATTATATGAAGCTTTTCAACTGTGTGGTTTCCATGCGGCCAGCCTGAGGGTCCCTGTGAAACCTGTCTCAGTTCTTTCCCCCAAAGACGATGTTTCAAAAATATATTTATTTGACATCTTTTAAACTGAGCTGTCAGCCTGGCATGTTGGCTCATGCCTGTAATCCCAGCAACTCAGGAAGCTGAGGCAGCAGAATCTCAAGTTCAAGGCCAGTCTGGACAACTTTTACCAAGAACCTATCTCAAAACACAAAGTAAAAAGGGCTGGGAATGTGGCTCAGTGGTTCAGGGCCCCTGGATTCAATCCCCAGGACTGCAAAATAAGTACATAAACAAACAAACAAACTGAACTATAACAGAGCTCTGTTAGAGTAAGCCTGTTTCACATTTTAGGAATCATCCATTTATAGGGTTTTTCTAAGTTCTTCTTTTTAGTGTGGCCATAATTCACGGAAGTCAGAAACTCAAGTTAGTAGAAAGTGGTTTTCAATTAGTCATCACAGAGGAAATGTCTGACTTTAATTAAATGTAAGTGTATTTTTCCTCTTGTCTAATATAAAATTGAAGCTGTTATGACAGTTCTATGACAAGAGACATACCCAGCAGCAACCCAGAAGAAACTCATGGTTAGTGACGGCCACTCAGAGGCAGATGTGCCTTCTGCTTTTTTCTGGTCATAAGAAGGATTTGAGAGTAACTTTTCTGAAAGGGTCTTTTTATCTGGTCTTTCCGGAACACTCTTACGTACACATCCTATCTTATGATGCTCTTGTCTTAGATTTCTGGAATATTCACTTTATATTCTGAAAAAACTTCAGAATGTACTTGTTTCTTCAAAAGCTTGTGACCCATGGTAGTTTGCTATTTTTATCCACAGATCGCCATCCACAGTGCCTGTTGAGAAAATACCTCATGACCTTTGCTTATTCCCTCACCTGGACTCCACAGGTAATTGGGTCCCCTCAAGGGCTTTCTGTCCTTTCTAGTTTGTAGCTCCGAATGGAGACATGCGTGTATTTTTAGGTCTCCATGAGTATCTCTCAACTTTGAGTCTATTCTCCTTTTTCTAGTACAACTCATTAACAGGTAGCTGCCTTTTTAAAATTTCTAAACTAATGTAGCTTTCCCTCTTCTCTTCTGTTTCTTGGTCAATAGCCCTAGAGAGGTCTCCCAATCTGCAGAAAAGGATCCACATGCCAGTTGGAATTAGGAGCCAGCTTAGTACTGTGTAGTATATGGATGTCCATGCAGGACAGGAAAGAGATGAAAATATCATCGTTAGGCACTCCTTTTTTGACATTTTGTCACAGTATCACTTGAATTTTCACCTTAGTGATTATTTCTTAAGTCCCCACTGGCTTTTGAATTCTTTGTTAAAACCCTGAGTTTGAATAGCTGGTTCTGAGGTCTTCTGTGAGCTACTATTTGACAGGAGACATGTTTTTGCATATTTGATTAAGAATTTTGTTTTCTATGCTAAAATGAAATCCACTCTGAATTTCTGGATTAAAAGCTATATGCCTCGGAAGAGTCCTGTTAGTTGAACTTATCTTTGTAAACAGAACAGTTTTTATGAGTAGACTTAACTAAAAATGTTTTTTCCTAAGGATTGGACAGCATAATTCTACCAAAAATTTATGTATAAATGCACCTGTGAATTTGATTTTGCCTGTGATATTGAATTCAAAATTCAGAATGATTTTAAAGGAACCATACCAGCTACGCTTTCATATTCTACAATGGTAATTTCACTCCTTTCCTCTTATATCCAGAAGAATAGCATTTCTACCTCCTACCCATTGAGTCTTATGAAAACAGGCCTTCCTGTTACATTGCCATCCCAAATTAATAGCAGTACTTGTCCAGAAATACCACTAATGGTGTAGCTTAGCTTGGGGCAGGAGCTGGAGTGAGAGGGAGTCTCTTAGTCAGAAGTAGAACCTCATTCTGTTTATAAACATCAAGAAACATTAGAGTGAGAGCTTATCATTTAATCACTCTACTTTTTACTATGGCATCTTTAGATAGAGTAAGACCAACAGTGTGCCCGGATCACTGTTGAAGTTGGAAGACTAAGGACAGGGCAGATTGAAGCCAGAGTGAGGGACATGTGTTTCTGCTTGAGCTGCGTGATGCCTGGGTTGACATTGTTGTAGTCTTTGTATCTCTCTGTGTCTTGAATGCTGCCCAATCAATAGTGAAGTTTGTGTGTATGGTGGAAAAAATCATTGTAACTTTTAAGGTATCATTATGATTATAAAACGTCCTGATGTTAGGATACCTTGCCCCTTTCTCCAAAGAAGAAAATCATCTGTCTTTCTCCACTGTGTCACAATTTGGAACAGAGTGAGGCTCCCTAATTAGGATTCCAACAGTGTTGGCCCTGGGGTCCTGATTCTTCACAGTCCCCCTTTTTTATAACTCTGGAGTCCCATCAGTCAAGACCCTGGACAGCAACTCCAGGTGACTCTGCTGACTAGCAGATCAAGCATGTGCCTCCTTGTCCCCCAAGTCCCAGAGATGAGATCCAAAGCCTCTGCTGTGTTGTCTCCCCTGCAGGAACCGTCAATGGGAAGTACTGCTGCCCGCAGCTGTTCATCAACCACCGGTGTTTCTCAGGCCCCTACCTGAACAAAGGCAGGATCGCGGAGCTACCTCAGTCGGTGGGGCCCGGCAAATGTGTGCTGGTTCTTAAAGAGGTAAAACACAGGCACCATCTCGGTCAGCTCATGTGTACAGGACCTGTGGGCCCCAGGCGCGGTGTGAGGAGGCACTGGACATTTGAGTCAGTTCAGTTCGCATTGATCCAGCACCTCCTGGCTTTCATAGTGAGGCCTGACAGCTAGAGACAAATGACGTTCCTGCCCATGAAAGGTGCACAGCCTGGCAGACTGCCTTTCTTCCCATGACATTTGGGGACATGCGGCACTAGGTTTAAGTAAAAGTGCTTTGGGAAGACAGGATAAGGAGTAAAGCGAGGGCTTCAGCCGAGAAGCCGGGGCTTCTCAAGGAGGACCCAGCTTGGAAAGGCACAGAGGACCTCAGGAGGAAGCAGAGAGCACATTGTTCCTCAGCCGGGTCCTCCCATGGCTTATGGGGATCTTTTTTATCCCTTTCTTCCACGGCACTTTAACTGGTCTCTGGGTACATGAGTGACATTTGTGCCATGGCTTTGTCCAGCAAAACTGGGGCCACACGTCACTGGGAAGGGGCTTCCCATTTCTCTCCTGACCTTGGGAGGTGACCTGCAAATAGAGGCAGATCCTGAGGATGTCAGAGGTCTTCTCGCTGTGGTGCTTTAGGAATCCCAGACATTTTCTAGACTCTTCTTGCAAGTCTGCTCTGCTCTGTATTCCTGCATATTGGTGCTTTCTCTTGAGAAAGAGGATGTCAGATTGGCTCCCTTTATTGTTACTACACCCAGATGAATGTTTTTTTGTTTTGCTTAAATTTTGTGGCCGCAGCAGTCCATTTATCTATGGGACAGTTGTTTGTTAAGCAACTTTGAGGAGCCAGGTGCTGTCTGAGCTGCTGGTTCAACAACAGACCCCCCTTTGGTCTCTCTCTGGGTTTCATGTTATTACTAAGAGATGATGTGAAACAAAGCCACGCCAACTGGAAGGGATTTTTGGAGAGAGATGGGAGCAGAGTGGGGAGGAAGTGACAAAAATATGACAGGTGACGTTAGATCTGGCTTGGACAGAGAACGTATAGTCTTCATTGTGCAGCAAAGGCAAGGTCACATGGGTGACCTTTTGGCAAAAGAAGGTCAGGTATGGCTGGAGGATAGGGACTTAACTCTGATGATAAGTAACAGATACAAAAGTGTATGTTACATTTGAAGAGAAAAACAGGGGAGTCTGGCCAGCCCTGTGCTTCAGTGTGAGGCCCGAGCAGATCAGAGGAGGCCCACTCAGAGAGGCCTTCTAAAGCATTCTAGGCAACATGGGCTTGAAGCTCTGGGTGACAGGGACCCCTGAGAGTGACCCTATGCTGAAGCATCTCCCTTAGCCCAAGAACGTCTCTGTGGTTTCAAGTGTCATTTTCTTAAAAGAGAAACGGTCAGAGGCCATTGGTGGTCTTAGTAGTTAAAAACTTCCATATATTTGGAAGACATGTCTGTTTCAGGGAGAATGTGGGGGCTGTGGTTTAAAGGAAACCTGTAAGAAATGGAACTATTGGGCTATTGTGGTTATTTCTGTGGGAGCATTTTGCACAGAGAATATTTGACTGGTGGTCCCATCCCTGAGTGAGCTTCCAGTCAAGGGGAAAGATGAGCAGATGAATGGAACGTGACCGGTGTGTCCCCATGCCGTGGCAAGGGCTGGCGTAGACGCTGAGATAGCATTGGGGTCACATCCAGTGAGTGGGAAAGTGACACGGTAACCTGCTGCAGATGTAGGGAAGGCTGGAGCGTCGAGGGTCTGGGGGATGAAGGAACGGAACGACAGGAAGGACACTTTCAGCACCATGGTTGAATGGAACGCCAAGGGCCGACACAGGCAGTGCCCACATCTACACTGAGAGTCTTGTGCAGCCCTGGCCATTGTATGTGGCCTTTAGGCCACAATTACTCAGCAGCAGGTTGGAGCTACTTTCATTTTAATACATCGAGGCATTGTGGATTGTGCTCATTCTGAGTAGCAAGTGGACTCCATAGATAATAGGTTCATAGCTAAAGAAAAATGGTGGCCAGATACAGTGGCGCCTGTAATCCCAGTTAGCTGTGCTAACAAACAACAGGACTTTGGCCTCAGTTTCTCTGTCTGGGGAGGCTGAGGCAGGAGGATCACAAGTTCAAAGCCAGCCTCAGCAACAGTGAGGCACTAAGCAACTCAGCGAGACCCTGTCTCTAAATAAAATACAAACTAGGGCTGGGGATGTGGCTCAGTGGTGGGTACCCCTGAGTTCAATCCCCAGTACCCAGCTGTTTCCCCACCACCACCAAAAAAAAAAAAAGAGAGAGAGAATGGTGATTGTGGGCAAGGGCAGCATATCCGGCACTGCTCTGGGTGTACCAAAATGGTTGGACGACTGGTTAACCCTAACTGTATACATTGGTACAGAATGAAGAACCCTGCAGTTAGGAAACTCCATCCAAAAAGAAATGAAGCCAGAATTAGGCATAAAAATTTCTGCTTCAATATGATATGGCATGGGGATGGACTGCTATCAGATCCATGCTGTCTGCCTGTGTTGGTTGTGAGTGACAGGTTAGGGGCACAGAAGGGGAAAATACAGTGAATGGGTGGGTTTCTTCGAAGTTGGCTGCAAGCCTGGTTGGCGTAGCACATTCCAGTTGTTAATAGGAGCTCTGTTATCTGCTAGCTGTGCTAACAAACAACAGGACTTTGGCCTCAGCTTCTCTGTAGGGGCTGGCCATTTTAATTTAATAAATGATTTTTTTCAAATCAAAAAATAGTTACCCCTCGTTAATTCTCTGATGGGTGCCAGCAACCAAACTTAAAAGCCCGGCCAGAGAAGTTTTCTGATGACAAAAGTGTTTTTTTGCTGATGTTTAGAAAATGCAAGCAGCAAGAAGAAAGAAAAAAGCAAGCACTTGCTTCAGTTCTGTGAGTGCAAGAAAAGTTCCACCAAGCCAATATTTATGCTAATGCTCTTCTTTCAGCACCAGAACCTCTGTGTAGCTTCAGATTCCATTTTGTTTAAAGAAAATGAGGTAATTGAAGCCAAGTCAGAGTATGTTGTTTTTCTGGGCCATTGATGGTATTAGAAATTTAAACACTTTTGTTTCTTCGGAAATTGTAAAGTGAGGCTTGTTTCCCTTCCCCTCTGCATGGCCTGCTGGAACTAGATAACATCTGTGGGGGCGATGCAGAGTGCTCCCTGGAGAGGTTGGATGCAGGCTGTGAAGTGAGGTCCGAGCTCCATCTGAGAGGGCCATGTGCTGGAGAGGAGGAAGCTCCTGGCAGAATGATGGCCAAGGTCTCTCCACTCACTTCATGTGTGTGAGACTCGAGTGGGGTCTGGATGGAGCCAGAGGTCAGTCCATGTCTGGCCTCCATTCTAGAGTGGGTGCCTCAAGAAGAGGTAGAAGGTGGGAACAGAGTCAGTAGATCGTCCATTCAGCTGTAGGCATCTCCTCCGAGTGGACTCATATTGGAGCACTTGTCCCTCAAGTGCTGGAACATTTAATGAGATGTGTGGGGCCAGGCTTATGGAGGGTGGGACCTCTTAGGTATAGATGTCAGCGATGATGTTTATCATAAACCAAACCTGCAGGCTCAGTGGGATCATTGCCATCCATTTCCATCCCAAATCCTTCTTCTCTCATGCTCAGGGTGTCAGGGTCCCCAAAAGATGGACAAACTATGTACCTGTGTAGGATCATGAGATTTGTTGCATCATGTGACGGTGGGGGAGTGTGTGTGGGGGAGTGCATATCATTTCAATTCAGGCAGGGAGTCTGAGGAATCCCTTTCCATGCGGGTCACAGCACTTGTTCATGTATTGAGCTGGTACCTGTTCTGTAACTGTGCTTTTGGGCAGCCTGGGTTCTGGAGTCTAAGAAAGGAACATCTCTAGGTGAAAAGACTAACAAATTGTACGCTTTGATTGAGTCTGCTTTTCCATTGCTGTGACCAAAATACCCAACTAGAACAACTTAGGGGGAAAAGTTTATTTGGGGCTCACATTTTCAGAGGTCTCAGTCCATAGATGGCTGACTCCATTGCTCTGGGTCCAAGATGTGGCAGCCCAGAGGAGGAAAACTGCCCAGCTCATGGTGGGGTCAAGAAGCAGAGAGGGTGGGGAGGGTGGTGGGGAGATATGCCCTTCCAGGACCCACCCTGAATGACCTACTCCTCCACCACATCCCACCTGCCTGGATTTACCACTCAGTCGGTTCAAACCAAGATGGACCGATTGGCTTACAGCTCTAGTAATCTAATCACTTACCTCTGAATATTCCTGTATTGAGAAGAACTTTGGTGAACACCTCATATCCACACCATAATGCGTTAACACCTGGTGGTCTCCCCCCTCCCCCCCGCATTTCTGGTACTTGACAGAAGGCTTAGAAGAAAGACATATGGACCCTGGACACACAGGAAACTTGGAAGTGATGAGCTTCTATGAGCGCATCCCTTCCTTCCAGTTTAAGGTTTCATTCCAGTTAGTGGAGATCATCAGAGAGGCTAATAAGACCTGCAGATTCAGTATTAATCAAGAGACTTTTGAGTTTGACGGGGGAGAAGAATAAGACAAAAAAGTGAGACTAGAAAGTGCTTCTGCTGTGCCGAGGCAGGAATCTTGTTCCTGATGGGAAAGATGCAGATACACAGTACCTCACACTCTTCTACCTCATCCACTCACTTACTGTTTACATACCTACTTCTATTTTATATATATATAAATATAAGATAGGTATGTAAATATATCTATATTTATATATATCTTCTATTTTATATATATAATAGAAGATACATCTCTCTCTCTCTCTCTCTCTCTCTCTCTCTCTCGAGGTTAATCCATCCGTTTGTATCATCTGACTCTCTAACCATCCATCATTACTATCTATCATCTACTTACCTGTCTACCATTTATCTATCATCATCATCATCTATCATGTGTCCGTCACCTATTCCTATTATATCTGTCCCTATCCTCTGTCTACTGATTGTGTCTTCTTAGAGTCACTTGGATGCTCTCATCAGCAGCCTGGTCCTGGAATGCACAA